AGAGAAAAAGAACTCCAGTTTCAGCAAAAAGCTTTGAAGCTCTTCACTTTTATCAGCAACCTGAACCCACCTCACACTTCTGACCATAAATCCCTAGTGTCTTTATGCAATGAGCTGAACATTTGAGCTCAGTTTCCAAAAGATGGGTATAAACATAATCTGTGGGCACTTTTGGTGGCAGATGCCAAATATGATTTGGATTTTGGAAATTACTGTTGCTTCTCCCATCACTATTTCCTTCATGCCAAATTGGAAGTAGGTTACTGAGATATTTCTGCCATTCCTGGGTAAGGTCTGCCCATAGATGAAGGACTTTTACGTCTCATCATAGCATAACAGTTAAGAATATGTTGGGTTTAAAGATAAAAGCTACGTGTATCCAGAGGGTTTGAAAGATATTGTTGGAAATTTACAGAGACCACAGAAGCCATCTTATGAAGCTTATGAAATCCCTGAGTAGCAACTGGTTAGAGCTGGGAATTATTACTGGGAGGTATCATATAGGCTTCACCTGACATGCTTGACTCCAGGTATCTCATTTTGGCCACGCTCAAAGACTGGACACTGACTAGACAGACTTTCAGTCTAACCCAATATGGATGATTTTTGATTTTCATATTCTTATGTACATGCAAGAACCGGACACAATACTGAAACATGAAAGAAACTATAAAGGCTACCCCAAAGAGTCAAGTAAGGGTTACTAGGTCAAAGTTGCCAATATGCCTGAGAAACAAAGACCCTCATTTGGAAGAAATACAAATCTGACATAAATACCCCATCTAAAATATGCCATGAATCAGTATTCATGGACAATTAATAAAAGGTGCAAGATTTCTTTCCTAGAAATGGAAAATAATCTTAAAATAAATATCCACACATGAGAGAAAATTTTTGCAAATCTGGTAAGCATATATTGCATGGCAAAAAGACAAAGACTATCTGCAAAGTAAACCTAGTCATCTTTCTTTCAATTTAACAGGTAGCCTAAGGAATCAGTGCAGAATCAGAAATAAATTTAGTGGTGGATTATGTGGATCGTGTGAGTAAAACATGTTCACAAGTGACATCTTGGAAATAAACTTACATGAATTAAAATTTAATGTATTATGGAGAACAGAGTCTTCTGCGCTTTTGCAGCCTGATCCAACTCCTTATGAAGACAAAAGAAATATTCCCACTCGCTCATGTGAGTGCTGGACCAGATCGATACCAAGAAAATAATAACCCATATGTTTCTGATTCCACTGGTCTCTTGGTTGTGAAGAATAGTCACCTCTTTGACTAAGGAAGGACTATGACTCTTGAAAGAGAGTAATCCCTGATTTACACCATTCTGGGAGGAGGGTCTGGCCTGCCGTGGAGTGCATACCTTCTTAACCCCTTAACACGTGGCCGTAAGTAAATCCTGCAGAAAAGCTGCTGAACTTGCACATGCAGTAACTTCTAAAGTCAACTCCATGGCTGCCAAAAAGCATATGAGAAGTCAGAAATAACTTACAATATGGCAGGTGTTACAGTGCAATAAGGGCATGTCTTAGGTACGTTATAAAACACAGACTGAAGTGGTTCCAGGATCTAAGAGTTATTACAATACAGACTGTGAGGTTACTACTTAGATGAAATTCCTCCTACCATGTCTTCAAACCATTTTTTTCCCCTTATTTGCTCCATTCACCACATTTAGATGCCACCATCTTGGATTTCCTTCTCTGAAAAGGAAATCCCCATTTCTCAGCACAAAACTTGAAAAGCTTTCAGTCAAAAGGAGCCGCTGAGCCTACGTCCTACACCCAGGTAACATAAGCCATGTGGAAATACGAACTGTTCACAACCTTCAAGCCCTCCAAAGCTGGCCAAGCTCAGGACCTAAGCCAGCACCATTAGTACCTCAAGCAGCAGACGGCAGCGGTTTGTGGGAAAGTCAAAAGTCAAGGGAGTGGGGAGAGTTGCCAAAGCACCTAAGAATACGTGTGCATTAAGCACCACTCTTGGAAAAGAGAGGTTTGAACTAGTTCTGTGCATGCCGGTACATCCCGATGACAATGTCCATCCAGGAGAAGAAGCTGACTTTTGTCCTGAGAGTAAGATGCTGCGTCCCAGCTAACAAGATCTGCCTCCAATGGGATGCTGCCTCCTGACTAACAAGCTGTGTCTCACAGACCACCATAGCATTGCTCCCACACAGCAACACAGCCCCCGACCAGTTCGGCATGCCCTCGGTGCTTGTGGAAAGCATATGTTTAGGTAGGGCATGTGCTCTGCGACCACAAAGAGCCAGGCTTTGGGGGAACTCTTGAGTCAAATCAGTGGGACTTCACAGCTCTAAGAATGTGACTTTTTGGCCCTTTTGAAAAATCTCACACCAGATATTACAAAACTGGCAGTATTCACAAGAGTATAAATTAGGACTTCAAAAAAGAATTACTCCAAGAAGTAAAACCTACCCTTTCATTAAGCCAAGGCTTCACGGCAAAAACCAGAAACCAGGACCATGTTGCCTCATCTTTAATGCGAGAGAAAAAAAGCTTTGGATGCGGCCACAGTCAGGATTTTGCTTCACAGGAGGAAATCCAAGATGGTGACGGCGAAGTGACAAATTCCAGCTCGTGCTGTTTTATTTCTGCTGGACGCAATGAGGTTGTTTAAGTAGCCTGGCCTTCGCATAAAGTTAATTCGTCCACACACACGGCCTCATATTTTCTGGATCAGCAGTACAGATATCATGAGAAACACTTTCATTTCAGTTTCCCTAGAAGAGTACCAAGAATATGGAGTGCTAAAGCAAAATTTGTCTTCTCAAACCTGGAGTTAGTCTCCAATTTATATAAAAACCTGTTTTTCACTTGCCGATAGGAAAACTATATATCTTCTTCAGATCTGGGGTTTTGTTGCTGTGATTTTTTTTATTTCCCAAGGCAGCAGAACTGCTTCCCCCACCCCCCACCCCCACAAGTGAGTGCAAGGTGGTAAAAATATGTGCCAGTTTAGCCCAGGGCTTGTTTGGGGAGGAGGGCTGTTAGGTTTTTTAAGCCATTAAGGTGGTCATTCCTTCTATGGTGCTAACCCTTCCTCCTTATTTCTTATTGACATCTCTCTTCTATCAGAGATCTGCTTTATTGGGTCTCTTCTCCCCCTTTTTTTCACATCGCAGTGCAGAGCATCACAGAGCATCCATATCACAGAGCAGAGACACTATTAGCGCTGGCAAACGGCTCCCTCCGCTTCCAGGATTTCAGCTTCATTTGGCTCGTGATCAGTAGTCATGGACTCCCTAACACAGAGGTGGACTCTCTTTTGCTCCTTTTTTTTTTTTTTAATCCTCCAGTGTGCCAAAAAAATTACTTTGAAAGGTATTTGGAAGCTTTTCGACTTCAACGTTTTTCAAGGTGTCAGGCTGGGACTTTCCCCAAAAATAGCAATAGTTAACTTAGCTAGCTATCATGTTTTAAATGTTTGTTATATTTTTAAAGAGGTTTTTTCCTTTCTTCTGAAACGTGCCAGAAATATGGGGTTTCTGTTCCATACAGTGGTTCCCCTCACTTTTATTTTCTTGTTTTTAGTGGGAAAGTCGATGAACAGTGGTTTAGGAAGACGGGAAGGAGGCAGAGCAAATAGTAAGCACAAATCAAGGAGAATTTCCTCGTTCTTCCCTCAGAAAACCACGTCTCCTTTGTTTCTGGCTTTCTTTAAGGAGTAGAAAAAAGCCACTTAAGTTAGCAAGAAAAGTCCCGCTTCAGCTGAGCAACTGATATAGCTCAAAGTGTGATAACTGAGTATGTTATGAAGATGAAACCTGATCAGCTTAGACACTTTACTCAGACGTCTTTTACTTAAGACACTAAAAGGCGAGGGGTTGCCTGTGCCTGCAAGCAGCTGCAGGCAGATGGTGATGCATTGAACTCGCCCACAAGAGTTTGAACTCTAAAGCGTACAGTAAATCCATTTTGGATTGTAAACACTTTTTTTAAAAAAAATTCCTTCTCATTTTCACCCACCCTGGCAAATTTTTGCCCTTCATGAGCTTCACAAGTCAAATCAGGCAAGGAGGACGCCGCTTATTGTTCCACTCCAAGTGACAAAGAGTGGAGAAAGGATTCGTCATCGCACTAAGTTATGGGAAGGGTTTTGGTTCCCTAAGATTCCGCTGTAGTCAGTGGAGAGAGATGGCAACTCCCGGCTCAAATTGCAGGTATGTGAAAACACTCTCTGGAAAGGCTCTTTTCTCTCGCTGTAACTTTGGAAAGAACCCAGGTAATGAAGACAGATACAGATAGACAACAGCTGTAGAAAAAAAAAAAATATCTCTTTTCTTCTTTTTATTAGTCATTGCTGTAAGGATGAAAATGCTCTTTCACACACACATACACGCGCACACACAGTCTCTCTGTCCCCACTGCTACATTTTACAGAACAGGAATCAAGTCCCAGGAAATGCAAGACACCTGACTTGGAATCAGGCCAGAACCTGGGACTTAAATGTGTTACAAGTGCATATATATTTATATGCCTTACGCAGCAAATGCCTAAATGCTTGTACAGCACCAGGTACGTGACTCAGCTTTGCATTCATGCCAGGTACCACGGTGTTTTTAGAATAAATTGTGCCCTTGCACACCAGCAACACGCATGTAAAGAAAACTGGGGCTCAGTCTAGTTTGGTGCAACTTGGTTAGGGAACCATTGTAGGAGGAAGAGAGCCGTATATTCCAGGCTAATGCTGGGATTATGTGTCATCTGACTCGTCAGCTCCGGGGCATTAACTGACATCGCGTATCAGGTTAGGTCAATAATCTGCCACTTGGTTCTGCTTGAGCAGATCTGCGTGCCCAGGGTAGAGATCAGTGACAAAAACGCGGAGTCTCGGAGGGAAAGGATTAGCTGCTGTGTGATCAGCGGGTTGGCATTTGCACCACAAGATGTGCAGACTTAATGCCTGGATCTGCTGTGAATCAGAAGCTACATCTGGAAAGTAGCAATACAAATCTGACTCTCCGGGGATGCCCGCAGCAATGAAAGCAGGCTTGGATGACAAAATGACAGATACTGGCAACTTGGACGGGATATTACCAGAATGGGAGAAAAACTTAAAGGATATAAAAATACCTGCTTGTTTTAACAAGATGCCCCAAGAGACTGAGAAGACCTTCCCTCACTCCAAACAAGTTGGGAATTACCTAGTAGGCAAAATGATCAACAAGGGCTCCTTTGCCAAGGTGATGGAGGGGCTGCACATCCCCACGGGGGAGAAGGTAAGCTCCTAATGAGAGGGTACCACGCAGTAGGGAGCGCAAGTAACCTCACACTAACTTATGTCAGAGGATTTCAGACCATTTAATCTGCAAACCACAATCTACTCAGTGAATTATCCTCTGAACCTTATCCTCATAAATTAACCTCATAAATTGAGTTTATTGCTCATGTATAATCAGTCACATGTGTGAATACGTACTGAGTGCAACTGTTTTCACAATTATAAAACAATATAGAGAACAAAGATGTCCTCCCGCTGAAAGAGAATAGGATAATGGCATAAAGACAATTTCAAATCTGCTTTCCCTGATAATCCTCATTGAGTAATTAGCGCCACGTATCTGACCTATAAAGCTAAGGACAACACTTACGGAAAAGCCGGGCACTCCAATAGCAATCATTTATACGGCAGGATACAGATAACATCTGTTATCTCTAGCTCAGTTGGGCTAAAATAACATACCACTAGACATAACTGCGGAAAGGTGGATAACTATCAAGTGGCTTTTTTAATTTTTAATTTTCTTATGGCTTCAGTAGCTTCACTGGCTGACTAGCTGCCCAAACTGCAAAGGGCCTAATCCCAGCCCATTATAGCCAGTATCTTGAATGGCTTTTCGATCAAGTCAGAAGGGAGCATGTTAGAAAAAAACAATGTGGTACAGCACAGATCTAGTTAACAGCCAAGCAAGTAGAGATTTTTAGCACTTTGCACATTTCATATATGTGTATTTATTAATGCAATCAGGTGGCAGTTCAGCCTTCTTGTTTTGGCTTTCAAGAGAAATAAAAAATGTATTCTTCCATCGAGAATGTCTCCCTCTGGGATATTGACTGTCAACATCACGTCAAAAACAGCTTCTCCCACATGTCAGCTTACTCCCCATCCTTTTGAAAATTAATCGAGGTTGCAAAGCTTGTTGCCAATTTGCATATGTCCTGCAATTTAGGTAGCCATAAAAGTCATTGACAAGAGAAAAGCCAAACAGGATTCCTACATTTTAAAAAATATGAAACGCGAGCCACGGATACACCAGATGATTAAGCACCCCAATGTTGTTCGGCTATATGAGACCTTGGAGACTGACAACTCCTATTACATGGTGATGGAGCTGTGCCTCGGCGGGGACCTCCTGGACAGAATTTGTGACAAAAAGAGGCTCACGGAAAGGGAAGTAAGGAGATACACCAGGCAAATTCTGTCTGCAGTAGAGCACCTGCATTGCCAGGGGATTGTTCACAGGTAAGGTGTTTCCCCTCTTCCAAAGAACAGTAAGAAAAGAAAGTGTGCAATAACATAGAGTGCTCTTCTCCAAGAGCATTTCTTCAACTTTCCCTTGTAAAAAAAGGGGTTGCAAAAAAGGCTATATTCTTTCAGCCCGTCTTAATAAAGAATTTTATTCTCAGTGGTGGTAGAAGATAAGCCGTTACGCACTCCTTGGGGAGAAAAGTAACAAAATCCAGGGATAAGAGCTGATGAGCGCAACAAATTAATACTTCGCCAAAATTATATCAGAATTAGCTGGTGACAAATGTGTATCTAATTCAAATATTTCAGTGTGGCTGTGCATATAAATACTGATTTCATTTGATCAGCCACAACATATTGAAATAACTACATATCACTCAGGGCAGAAGACTGAGGAATCACAACTCAGTGGTTGTGCACAGGACATGGTCCTGCAGGTCCAAGTCTGTAGCAGTTCACTGACCTTCCACGCTGGCTTTTGCATTACAGGGACAGATCATGACTTCCGCCACTGTTAGAGGAACCTGAGCAGCCCATACAAGGAGAGTCGATTGTCTTCCCCTCACCAGGGATCTCGGCACATATGCCAAGAGCAGCAGAATAAGGACTTCCATTTTAGGTGGGAGAATAGGCAAGAAGCAGTTTTTCCCACTGGTTTTCTGTTTTATTTAATAATCCCCGGTCAATCAGATCCTACTTTTAAATCATAAATGCACTCATCAAGAAAGCCCCCAGGACCTAGCAAGTAATCCAGTTGACTGTATCCTTACAGTAACCATGAAACAAATAAGCTCTGAATATGATGGCTCAGAATTTACAAGTGCTTTGTGACTTGAAATGCTTGCAATCCAGCACTTAGTTATATTGGATTTGTTAATTAATAAGGAATGGACAAGAAAGAAATAGTCACTATCTGACCTAGAGAATTTAAACAAACAAGAAAACCACACCAGAAAATAAACCCAAGGGGCTTCACCCATTTAGCCCAGGCTGACATCGCTGCCTTGCTGGTTCTCTAACTAATCTATTTTGCAGCATTTCTTCAGTACCCACGATGGTAACATTTACGTTCTTCCCATGACAACATTCCTTATTGATTTCTCAAGCCCTCTTCCCTTCTTTTTGTTTGGAAACAACTCTTCCTGGAGAGCGGTGAAGCAACCTGACATCTTCCCTTACTTTTCTTCTGTTGGTATTGTTTTGCTGGGAAAGCTTTGCGAGAGAGAGAATTTTGCTGCACATCCTAAGAGCAGCCAGGTACAAAGTGGAGTGAGCTCCTCCAGAGACTTACATTACTATCAAACCCCTCCTAACCAAAGGAAAACTCATCCCTGGCTCTCAAGCGCCTTGTCATAGGGTTTATGAAGTGGCATGGTCCGGCAGGAGCACAGCCACCTTGCTAGGTGACGAGCGTAGGTTCGATCAGCAGTACCTCAACTCATGACCTGCTGCTAGCTTTGAGATTCAGAGCTGCAGCCTTAACACACCAGAAGCAGACTGGGAAGGAGCTGGAAGGGCTTCCCCACTCAGCTCCAGCTGCAGTGATTTATAGTAACTCACTGCAGACGTTAAACCGACAAGGATGATTGTGGGTGTATCCTCTTCTGAAAAGAAGGCATCAATGTTTCCAGAAAGATGAGCACAGAAATAGGAAAGTTACCTCACAAAGTCAATCTGATTTTCTCATCTAAGCACTGAGCAAAGCTCAGCTCTTTGCATTGCTTTAACACAGGGAAAGGAGGGTTCCCAAACTGCCTGGCGGGAACAGCTGCTGTTCCACACTTCCCCGGAACCCCACAGGTGTCAGGGCGTTACTGGGGAGGGTGCTGGTAAAATCACACCAGGTATCATGGTAATAATTTCATGAGGTGGATAATTGTGTGCTGATGCTTGGGTCTATGCCTGGGGCCTCTTTATTGTACTAGAATGGAGGAGCCTGGTGATTGCAAGATCTCATTTCTAAGTGATGAGCTTAAGAATTTGCTAATCTAATTTTGTTGTGCTCAGAAATGTTTTATGGGCATATATACCTCAGAAAAGCAGTATTTTCTATTGTCCTAATAATATACATGATGAAAAACTGGCCAGCTTTGTAACTATTTTTAGGCCAAACTAATATCACTCATCAGAAATCCTGTGGTATGTTTTGACAGCTACTTTGTTTCCTGAGCTTTACTTTTCCTATTCAGCAATAAAATCAGCACTGATCCAACAAATCCTTATGGCTTAAATTAAGGTTGAGTCTACTTTTCACAGTAAAGGTAGTATCTTTCTTGTCCATGCAAGATCACCGTTGATTTCAATGCCACAGTTGCCAAAATGATCAAGAAGATGGAGGATTGACTCACTTGCCTATTCATCCAGCACACTGAATTTTACCGTGCCAGATATAAGAAGGCTCAGGCACAACATCAGGTTGAACAGTTTCACAAGCTAACACTCATCAGCTGAGCTCTGCTAACTATCCCTATGCCTGCTCTAGACACGGCCAAGTGGTGAGCTAATGCAGCTGAGCTTTAAAACCTCAAATAAAGACATATAAGCTAAATCACATTACTTCGTGATTGGATTGGGTTAGCATATCCACGCAGTCCGCTACCAACTCCTAAAGCTGGAGCTTGCTAAGTGACAGTAACTTGCTTGTATGTACAGTTCCTAATTTTTCCTGGATATTTTCCCTTCTCCCATATAAAAATGTCATATGTCCTTTTGAACGACTACTGGAGCAAAGACCTGGAAAAGCATCACAAGCCGCCCTCTAGGCACTGTGTCTGAATCCCCCATGGGAATGAGAAAAAAATCATGATGTTGCTTAAAATTACAGGATTTCTGGGAAAGTTTCTTTTGGAAAAAAAAAAGAACAAGATGTATCTTGATGCAAGATAACTTCTGACACTATGTAAACTTTAATAGTGACTGTTATCAGGTTTTTCAAGCAAGAAAGCATACGTCTTTATTAACTGTGTGAGCACTCAGCTCAGCCTACAGAACAGCAGTTGTGGCAGTCCAATGTAACGTTATTTAATTGTAGCATAGTAGAAGTCATCAGAGTGCACTGTGGGGTGCTAAATCCGATAGAAATGTCAGATTTGCAGTGGCAAATTAGTTTTAAACCACACGGTTTTAGCGCACAGGGTTATGCCACAGGGACAGGCTATGAACAAAGTTATCTTAAATCCACCTCCCTGCTTTTGGGCACTGGCTTATTTGCCACTCTAGAAAACATGCTATTCAAATTAAAACCAATTAAAAAGTTATCATTAAAACGGTCTCCATCCCATTCTCAGCCTGGGGCAGCAGAGGGTTTCGAGTGCAATGCTGTCCCATCCAGAACCACGGAGATAGAAGGACACTCCGATAAAAACCCCCATCGGGACCACCGGGTACACCTCTGGACTTAATCCCCTGCAGCAGTGGAGTGCTCTTCCTGCAGCACCAGTCCTCCCAGCCCTTGCTCCTCGCTCCTGTCCTTGTTCCCATCCCTCCTTCTGGCTTGTCCTCCTGTAATCCCCCAGGTCTTTGGGCTGGCGAAAGCGCTTCACGACTTCAGAGAGGGTGGGAAGGATATCCACGTAGCCGGAGCCGCTTCTGAAATTTGCTCTGTCCCCCCCGTGTCCCCTGCCGAGCTGAGGGAAGCCCCCAGCGGCACGCGGGAGGCCGGGATGGGAGTCAGCAAAGTCCTGGACCGCCTCCCAACACCCAAATTACACTGGCTGAGGATTCCCCCGCGCTGCGAAAGATTTCAGCTGCCACTTCAGGCGCTCCCCACAGTGGAGCAATATTCCGGCTTTTGGTTTTAATTTGTAAGGATATAAATGTTCCCACAATAAGCAAGTACGCGCCTGAGTCAGCTAACTGCATTTTTCCTGCAGCTCTGAATTACGTCCTCCTGCGGGGGCGGCTGGTACTGGTTGACCCTGTTTACACAAACATCACTGCGGAGATGTCTCCACCTTCAGGGTATCTGTCCCCGACCCAGCTTTGGTACACCTCCCCTCCTCCACGAGGTCTTACTTTCCAGTTCCCTTCTCATCCTTCATATCTCTCAGGCACGATTTGCTCACAAAAAAAGCAGAAATACTCAACAGTGCTCAGCACTTCAAACAAAGACAAAAACACTCTGGGTCCAAGTACGTGTAACTTTCTTTTTTTTACTCAAAAGAAGACATAAATAAAGTTCATTAAAAACAAAAAACAAAACAAAACAAAAACACATCGGTAGAACGGATGATTCCTAAAACGAATGGTCTATTCAAAATATATACTCATACAGAAAGTTTCTTTTTTCCCAACTGAAAACTTCAGGAAGGGATAAGGATCTTGTTACAATTGTAGGCAGAGCTGTGCAGAACTATTGTTATTATTTCAATTAAACTTTGCTAAAAACTATCTGCAAATGGTTAGCTGGGGCATCAGGCATCTTAACATTTGCTTTCTGTCTTCATTTCAGGGACCTAAAAATCGAAAATTTTCTTCTCGATGAGAACAACAATATCAAAATCGTTGGTAGGTGCACATTATCTGTGAAACTTGTTTTCAGCTTTTCATTTTGTGTGGCTTTCAGCAACAGTTCAGCTATTTAAATAATGCATTTTATTAGTGAGCTTGTGATTATTCAACAAACATATTCAAGCTTTTAGAATAAATAGAAGTTATGAAGTATAACTTAACAGCTTGTTTATTCGAGCTTTAACTAAAACATATTTTCAAGAGAACAAGGAAAACAATTTTGCCTATTGTTTTCCCTTGTGTATTGCTAGAGAAGCAAGAAACAATTACAGCTTTTATGTGTAGAAAGCTGTTCCTAGCAGAAGTGATTTGTAGACGAAGAAATAAATCTTCTGGGGTGAAATGCAGGTATGGACACATTAGCTTCTGTCGAGTCATTACTCCAACTAGAAACCTCATCATTTGGTATGTATAAAAAAAAAAAAAAGACAAGACTTTTTTGGTCACTAACAGGAACCTTGCTAGGGCTGTGAAGCAAACATTTATAAAAATGAGGGAATTTGCACCAAGCAGTTAACACAGCTCAGAGAAACATTAATTTTATTCTATGGAAACCACACAGAAAAATCCCCGCAAGGGAAGCTCACTCTTAGAGACGCCACATGTTTAACCCAGTGTTTCCCAAACTTTTAAAAGCTTAACACCTCTGAGAAAAAAGGCAGCAACTCTTCACCCCTGTTTTATAGCCAGCCAGTCCTTTACAATCACACCTTTCTCTTCCCTCCCCCTCGCACACAGGCACATGTACAGAGAAAAAGGCTTAAGTTAGCACATTTTACCCCCCGTTTACAGCGGGCTAAAGCAGACCCAGCTGAGCCGAATGCCGTAGCTCATTAAGCCACACTAATGCAGCTGTGTAGCTAAGCTCTTGTACTAGCGTGCACACAACTGAGGCAAGCTAAAAGAGCTAAACCAAAAGCAACCAAACCAGGCGTACGGCCCCACGGCTGGGTAACTTCACCGTTACCTCCGCTAATTCTTGGCGCGTTTATTCAAACCCAAACTGGCATCCACAGTTGAGGTGTCACCAGATGCTGAAGCCAGCTGCTGTTTTCATCTTTCTCCTATCTTCAACCAATTCGTAAAGCTAAACTATTTTGAGAAGAGTCTAAAACTTCTTTGCTTTTGTTTTTGTGACTGTCAGATTTCGGGCTGAGCAATACTGCAAAATTTGAGGGGCTCTCTCAGGAGCTGTTACATACCCAGTGTGGGAGTCCCGCGTATGCTGCCCCAGAACTCCTTGCTCATAGGAAATATGGTCCAAAGGTGGACGTCTGGTCCATGTAAGTAGATCTAAAAATATACTTATTGAAACACTCTCGGCACCGAATGGTTTAGACAAGACTCTGATATAAATAGGTTGGTGGCACTCTGCTTTAGGGCATCAATGGGGAAAGCAGAGATATACCAGAGAAGGGTTGCCAGAAAAAAAAAAAAATATGGGTGTAAAAAAAGTATCTTGAAATGTGTATCCATTGCAGAACACTAGAGAAAAAAAAATGAATGAGCAATGCATGTGCTATTCTGGAGTAAACCTGTGGCAAGGAAAGCCAGCACAAGGTAGAGTATCCAGCTCTGGGAGCCTGTTCTGAAAAAGCAGAGAAAGAGCTTGTAGGTACCAGCCCCCCCAGATGAACCCCTCACCCTCCTGTCCATCTGGCACACAGCTAGAGCTGATATCTGAGTAACTTTGGTCAAAGTCAGAAGCTCTGGAAACCCTGGGCTGACAAATGGGCATTTCTGTCTGCTTTGCCAAAAGAAGAAATCTAACCAGAAAAAATGAGTCTCAGGGACACACAGACCAAAGATGTGGTTACAGCAGAGCCAGGAGACCTTCATCTATACCTACATCTATATCAGATTATGATTTAAAAGTGGAGTTATTTACTTCATAGGTGACACAAACCTGAATGGACTCCGTTTTATTTGTTCACTACATCTATAGGATATGAATCGTAGAATAAAGAATAATGCAAAAGGTGCCATCTGAAGAGTAATTTTTCACACAAATCATCTCAGGCTTTTCAACTGCATCTGCAGTTTGCAGTTCTAGCAGTCAAGTTTGGGTTTTTTGCTTTTTTGTCAGTTTTTCTGGATGTATCTGAGAAAATGATAGTATATTAAGTCCATTTTTGAATCCTTTGATCTTCACAGGTCTGGATAGGAGAGTGGTTCTCCATGTCCATCATTTGTCCAAAGGTAGTTCATGTTTATCTATAAGTATATGTGCCCACATATCAGCTTCTCCTCAACTGTTTTCATAGTGACCATATGCTCAGGTCTAAGTGTTCCACCTAGAACACATTTTTAAACCCATTTCTAGCAGGTATGATTCAGAGCACAGAAGATGAGTATGAGCAATATAGACCAGCCCAGATCTCCATCTAGAGCATTTAGATTCAAAAACCCAGTGGCTGGTCAAATGCACCTTTGTCCAGACTCTTCCCACCTACTTACAATTGCAACCATAATTCCCTGCAGTATCTTAACTAACAAGTGTTAGGGTAAAATTCAGGGTGCTATTAAGGCAATGATAAAAGCCTGTGGACTTCAAACAGCTCAGAAGGCTTGTAAGAGTATTTGGACTTTTTGGCTTAGAAGTGCCTCCTCCCATCCCACCCCACAACCATATTGATCTAATGGATCTTAATGTTCTGCTTCTGTTCAACACACAATGCTGCATTTGATCCAAACCCAAACCACCTCACTCTGGTCACCTGCCAGAAGGAACAGGAGGTCTGGATGTACAGAATCACTTGGAACTGGGATGTCCCACCTGCTCGTCCAGCTGTGAGAATATGGAGTCTCCTTGTGGAATTCTCAGCAGTCTTCACTAAACTGTGTATCTATGGAGGACAAAGCATTTTAGTTTGATCTACAAGGTTGCTGGTACCTACATATAGGCACCTGATTCAGATATCTAAAGTAGAAGCTTAGGATTTCTATATGCTCAAAAGAAAAAGGATTTATATACACATAAATATATAATGTACATTATTCCTCTCAAGACCTGCTTCTGGCAGACATACTATATATTAGCGTTTTGACCTAACTATGACTCCTACACCTCAACTTCCTTTAAATTTACAGGATATGAACAGTACGCAAGGTTGAAGATGAAGGGACAAATTCGACCTAATTACTTCAGTATAAGTCTGGATTTCAAGAGTGCTACTCTGAATTTATGTAGACATAACACAGACAAATCAGGTCTAGAGGATGCTGTCAGCACTCAAATAGGATTGTACTTATTTCGCATTTCAGATGTCTGAATGAAGGCAAAGCAGTAACCTTAGAACCATTTACTGAGCTCACTCTGTTAATAAACACCACATAGCAGGTCAAGGGCCATATAAAACTTATATAAGGCCCTTGGTATTTAACACAGACATAGTCTATATTTTAGGCATAAAACATATTTACAATTTAACCTGAATTGCTTACATTACCATCACGGAAAAGGGAATTCTGATGAACTAAAATATTAATTAGAAAGGTAAGTTATTTCTATTGTCACAAAGTAAGCAAAGGATTACAGATCGACTGGATTCTGGCAAAAGACTCCGGTGTGGTGGAGAAATTCCGACTTTGTGCCGCAGGACTGACAAGGAGTCGTTACAACGGGAACCAGAAAGCCATATTCAGTCAGAAGCGCATTCAGAAAACCAACCAGATTCAACTACAATACAGCTCAGGCTCCTATGACTCAACAGCGAACAGCAGCGCCTGTTTTGCCTAATCTAGATTTTAAAGATTCTTTGGAGGACTGGAAAGTGATTAGCTTTCGTGCACCAGCTGAATTGAGGAAACAGCTGCTGTATTCAAACAAATCCAGACAGTTTAGTGGGACAGAGGAGAAGCAGTCTGTTATAGCTAATAAATTCTCAAGTTTGACATGCCATCAGATTCCAGCTGCAATTAACTACTAAGTGCATTACTGTTAACTAGCTACATTTTGTGCATAAGACTTTAAAAGGGATTTTTAGGACGGCAGCTCCACCCATTCCCCAAATTCCTGTACCTTGGGGATTTCCCCATCCAGTAGGGTGATGAAAAGAACTATTGCCAGTTTAAAGCACCAATCATGTATATCATCACCAGCAATTTAAAGTGCATGGTAGTCTTTGCAGTGTTGAAAAGAAAAATGTATTTAATGTTGTAATGACATCAGAGATCCACTTGCACTGCATGTTACCCCCACTCATCAGAGAATACTCAGGGACCTTTCTCTTGCTTCAACTCCAGCTACATTTGTATTATAGAACGAGAGTCCTTGCTACTTCAGTCAACTCAATATCATTTCACTGCAGCATGTTTACTTTGCATCTCTGTTGGGTTTTTTTTTTTGACTCAAAGGATTCATCAGGAATGTTCTGGAAGGCGTTACAATCAGGGACTTGATTTATCACAAGGTTTGGTAAAGTGAGAAGAGCTTGATCTCACCTGAATTTAGCCATTTAACAACCAGGCATCTAGGTTATACCAGGCAGTTAGTGTCCTGCTATTGTCAGTGCAGGGAGATGGCTCATCTCCTGAGACACTGAACTGTACCCTAAAATCACTGTATAACATGGCTGTGATGAATCTCTCTTGGAGAGACCTGTCTCTTTCCATTGATAACTAATGATACCTAGGTTTTAGATGGTTAAAGCGAGACAAGACAAGTCCTAGTCGAGAGTAATAAAAAGCATTTATCCATAGGTCACTGGTTCAAATTCAATCCGATGCAACATTTATAAAAAGGCGTCACCATCTTCTCATGGTGTTTCATTAGTGCTATCATCTTCTCATGGTTTTTCAACGGTTTGAAAACATTAAAAAAAAGATTGTAGTTGAGTTGTGCACACCACGAACAGATCGTATTCACAGATAACATTGTCATCATCTGCACTGATGTATGAGCCAGACCAATTAAATTAGAATTGCCGGAATCCCTAAAATGACTGTCTCGACTGAGTTCAGTAGAGACGCGGCAAAGGATGGTAAAGAGAAGCGCTGTGGCGGTGGCACAGCTCAGCTGGAGCGAGGAAGTACCATGGAGAGTGTTCAAGGAAACCTCCTCGTTCGCAAACTCAGGACAGCTGAGCGAGTTTTCCCAATGTTGGTACTTCTCCAGGCTGAATGGCAAACCTTCACAAAGTTTGCTGATCGCTGCTAGCAGACCGTTAGTCTTTCGCAAGAGCTAAAGTTTTAAGTTTTTTAGCCAACAGCAAGCTGTTACCAAATGAATGCCTTCTAGGCATAAGTCACACCTAATTTAGCAATCTGAGCAAAGCAAGCAGAACTGAATTACTATTTGGAACGGGATCTATCGCATCAGTCCCAGCTCTGTGTTGTCACTCGGCCTCCAAACCGAAAGGCTCTATTCTGATGGGCTGGGTACGCTACACTGACACTCCAATGAGTTTCTTTTAAAAATAAACAGCAGGTTTCCACTTTCAACACTGCAGGCTTTTCAATCACTCACTGTACAATCTATTTTATATATGCTTCCCACAACATTATTTTCTAGAAAAAATGGCATTTACACAAAGGCAAAAGGTGTAAGATGTGTATTCAGTACAAATTGCTGCTTAGAAGTAATTTGTAACCTCATTCTTGATACTGAAGGCAAATCTCTGAAACCTGACGCATAGCTTTGTGGGATTTTTTGGCAAACATTCACTAGCATTATACGGAACTCTGATGTTTGTCTTTTTCTTTGACAGAGGTGTAAGCACGTTTGCTATGCTAACCGGCACGTTACCTTTCACGGTGGAACCTTTTAATATCAAGCAACTACATCAAAAGATGTTAATTGGAGAAATCAGCCCCATTCCGTCAGACATCTCCCCTGGTAAAGCACTCCAATTTTTATAAAGAATAATGATCTATAAAAGTTCTAACCCATGCAATAAAGTGAATTTAGCAATAACACAGTCTTCTGGAAAATAAGAGGCACCTTTTCCAGTTGCTTTGTTTGCATTTAGAAATAACTTTTGTTTGCCTTAGGCAAGATCTCTTTATCTCAGGCTAGTAGGAAAATAACATTGTTGCTTCTTCAAAAGACCACTATTCTTGGTTCTTACAGGGGGAACAAAATGTACATTGCTTTCATGTAAGTGGAGCAGCTGTGCAGTAAATGAGAACGCTGCCGTGTTTAGTATGCCCTATGTTGTGTGCCATAGCCAGACATTCCTTCCTGTTTTTTCCCAAAAATAAGTTATCAAAACCTTAGATAATTTCTCCTGAAGAACTTATCTTTTGGCTACAGACAGAACCCACAACATTGAGATAATTAAAGAAATCGGAGGGCTATTTTTGTGAAGAGTCTGTTCATGTTTTTCATGAGAAAGGACTGAAATACAGCATTTTTTGATGAATTTTACTGACAATCTTTAATGAGGTACAGTCTATGGAGTCTTTTGGGACAACTGGGAAAGATAATTCTCAAAATCTCTAGCCTATGGCTCTAAAACTCAGAAGTCATGTTGGTGTATATACACTCTCGGTTATCAATCCAAAATTTACTTCCTCACAGCTCAAAATTCTTCTGCTTTACAGTTCTTATACACCCCTGGCTTTCATCCCTATTTTCTCTCCACCTGGACTACCATCTTCTCTTGACCATCACATCCCTGGGCCCCTTCTCACATCCCTGATCGTGCAGCTTCACTGACCAAGTGAGAAAGCAGAGCAGAATGAGACTTGTTTTGCCCAGCTCTCTGCCGGCACCAGTTCGGATCTCCCCATCGTTTTGAGCAGCATTGCTCTGACATTAGGCAAGAATGAGCCTAGGAACCAAGATTAGCTTCAGCGGCTGCCTGCAGCCAATACTGGAAAGCAGCACCCAGTTCCAGAATAAGCTAGCTGGATCTAGTCTGGAGTTACAGTATTAAGATAATGTGATGATTCAATTTCTTTTTCTCCCCAAGTAAATGGTATGAGGTACCATAGCTGTCCAGGATGTTTGTACATTAGTCTCTCATTTATCGTGCTTTGGAGATTGGTTGCCAGATAGCAGCTCCATTTTTCTACAAGCCCTCCATGGCTGCAATTATTATATTTCTAATTTTTCTTATTTATGCTATTGTTATAGCTTCTACTAATAAATGCATTATCTCTGCTTTTCTACAAAGCCCACACAGTCAGTGGAAGATTGCGGATAACTCCATTGTTCCTTTGCCCATTGGGAATTTAGTGAGAGAGCAGTAGTAAACAAGCTTTGCATACTTTAGATCTAAAGTTCCTCTGAAGGAGATTACAAGTGAAAGGAGCAGTATGTTCCCAGTTTAATGCTCACTTGCCATTTTGCTGATTTCAAAATATCCCCAAGGAATATGGAAGAATTTGGTAGAGTTTTCCCAAGAAGGAAAAAAAAAGAGAGGGACTTTATGCAGTGTTGGAACTGAGTGATAGACATATGGCAATGTTTGAGCTTTCTCTGTCCCAATTCCAGGAAACCAAAGCACAACACGTCATCTGAGCACATAGGTCCACCTCCCTCCCTAGTTACAGAGAGTTTTATCAATTAGATTAGCTTCTCTGTGGGAGGAACGTAACTCCTGGGTAGTCAGCTGGCACAGAAGTGCCCCTTCTCAGAACCTTGATCAAATGCTGAGTAAGCACAATGCTGAGATTACTACTGATGCCATAGGCTGCATTCACTGGGGTAAATCAAGTGAATTTGGAAGCAAAATCCAGTGCTGTATCTGTAGCAGCATCCATAGGTCCATAGCATGCCTCCTGGCATGGTTTGGCACGTGCTGCCCACCCTGCTCAGGCATCCTTGGAGGAACAGGGTCACCACACGGGACCACAGCAATCTCAGAGGAGAGCTGGAGCTGTTTTATTCAGCAGTCCAGAGGTAGCCCTAGAGACGGGGTTTTAGCTGAGGTTCTTACAATGTGGAGAAGCAGGGCAAGTGCCACATTTCTGAAACAGATCAGAGGGGGGAAAGGAAAATTTGGCACTGCCCAAATGATCAGTTATTACTAGTAAACAAGCAATTTCATCTAAACACCGCACAGGAGCTGTACACTTCATGCAGTCCTTACTCGAGCCTGACCCTGCTAAGAGGCCTGGAGTCAAAGAGGCAATAAAAGACAAATGGTTGAATGAAGGCTTCACCAGGAAAATACTGAATGCTGCTACCTATGAGAACAGGTAACAAATTTCACGTTTCTTCTGGCTTGGGATTTCAGGATTCAAGATTTTTTGGGGGGGGAAGTGTTGGGGTTTTAGGATTTTTTTTGTTTTGTTTGTTTTAGACTATTTTTGTTATCTGCTCAGGGCTGTTCCAAAATGACAAAACTTTGTTTCAGAAAACACCACATCATCTTTTCTAACCATGGATAAATTTTATATAAGAGGAAACTTATAAATCCTTACAGAACTGCTTATATCCATTGTATCAATAATTTTATTCTCAACACGCCTCACTGGTGCCGCTAATTTCTAGACGGTGTGTTTCTAATTCTTTCCTGCAAAACTAGCTCTCGCATGCCCACCTGAGTGAACAACATTTTTATATTACATTGAATTTCTTGTTGTTCTAATAATTTTTATTCTTATCCATCTTTGTAACTGGCCTCAGCTAGTCTCCATTTTTTTCTTGGCAAGCCACTTTACAGCTTAACATGATTATAAAAGTTTGAAATAGATATGTGCAATATGACACTTCACATAAACATTGCCAACTTTCAAGTTGTTATTCATCTTTAATATTGGGAGGCTGCAAAGTATACTTTGCATGTCTTTAGATAAGTAATTTCAGTGATGGATCTTTTATATCTTCCTCACAGCTGAAAGTAGCTAGCCATGCATCAAATATTTTGTGCCCAGATCATTCTGTAAAAGTCAGTAGTTTACACTAATCAAAAAAGAATATCATTTCGCCTATGTAATCTGCACCATCCACAGTGGTGCCCACGGGACATGTGGCAGGTTTTCCTACCACAATCCAGGTGATCCACTACCAGTCACAGCCAGGGCTATTAGAAATCTATGCACAATTTATTCATTTCTCTGAGAACTGATCACCTTTCCTACCTTTGCCTTCCTTCCCTCCCATCAGATGTGCCTGTGCCCATTCACACTCAGGTTTGAAAAAATGTCTTAGGAGTCTCAGAATCCAACGAGGCCGTCACATTTCTAAAATGCCTTTACTAGACTTTACTATTCACAGAAGCCTGTGAGTAAAATAGTTATCCTTATAACATAACCAGTTTTACTTCACTATCAGATTTATGGAAAAATAAAAATCCTCCTGTACTTTCTGTAGTTCATTTTTTGTCCTTTGAGATTTTCCTGCCTGTGGGGCTCTTCCTGTCTTCTTACGCACACGCACGCACACTATCTCTCTGTGAAACCATTTGAGACCACTGTGCTGAGAACCAAAATATACACACTCGATTAAAATGAGAAAATGCTGGTTTCCATCTTTTAATTTTTCAAGCTTAATCCTGGTGGGTGTCCTTTCAGAGTAATCAATTATATCAACAACAGGATATTTAATAGTGCAGTAACAGAGCCTCAGCCCATCAGTGAAGTTAGCATAGCCAGACAGAGAATTTTTGCAAAACTGTGTATTATAATTTGCCTGTACAATCGACTTAGCCTACTCCAGCTACGTCACAAGTGTCTTGTCCTCTTACTGTAAATTCTGACATTGTACCCAGACACGTCCTTTGTATTTAAGTACTTTTTTCCTAACATTTCAGACTTTGCCCCAGTGAATTGAATCCTGTTGTTTTAAACTACATGACAGAAATGATGGAGTTCAGTCTTTCAGAAGTTATCAACATTTTAATAAATAACAGACCCTCTCCTGCCATGGCTTCTTATTGCTTATTGCTGAAGAAACTTCTCAGGTACCAGAAAGACCGCAAAAGAGTCCAGGTAAGATATCATGATCATGACAGGCATAAAGTGCTCCCTGGATTCTTATTTGCAACATCATGACAGCCACACAGCACATGTGAAAAAGGTGGTTGTTCATGGAATGGAGACACAAGTCACCGAAAATAGTAATGAAATTGCAGATCTGGGTGCAGTCTCAGGAAACCTATGTTCTGGCATTCTCAGAGGTGATTATTTTAAGAGATTTTTTTTTCCCAGAGATAAATATACCCTTTTTAAATGACAAATGAATTTTAAAAATGGGCTGCTGGTTGTAATAGGATTGAGAATTATTTTGCTTTACATAAAAGATTACTTTTCCATAGGGAAAAGGAGCATTAGCATCTCAGAAACTTCGCCATCCCTTCCCTTTCTGACTGGTCCGTGAGGGCCTGATCCAAAGTCTGGGGAGGTGAGTGGGAAGCTGTGAAAGCTGTAAAATCTTTTCCCAGCATCTTTTTTTTTTTTTTGTATTTTTAACACTGTATCTTACGCTCACACTCCAGCGCCAACTCACTCAGGGACACGGAGTGAGATCAGAGGGGACAAAAACTTAAAAATTAAATTCAGAAAATTATGGTAATCTCTGGTAAGGCCACAATTAGTTAAAAGGGCTGTAAGCTTTTCTTTTACAACCGTCTCCACCAAGGGGTTCACAGCTCAGTCATAAAAATTTTGCTTCAGGCAGAAACTAGGCAGACAGGAAGCCAAATTCCAGCTTCTAACACACAAGTGCAATGGGAAAAGTTTCAGCTACAAAACAACACACATCAGCGATTAGCCTCCCATTCAAAGCCTTCGCCCCGGAGAAGCTGTATTTTGAGAAGGTCCAGTTGACTCCTCTAGAAATTATTCAGATGAGCTTGAGCAGATCCAGATCTCCATCCCAGCACACAGCCCCAAGGACGCAACAGCCTGTGCAGTGTTTGCAGGCAGAGCCATAACTCAAAAATATGAGTTGGGCAGTGTGTGTGTGTGCGCGCGCGCGCGTGTGCTTACGGGGAGGAGGCTTCCCTTCACATATGTGATTTTTTTTCATATTATAATTTTAAATTGGATCTGCTAAATCGTAAGTCACTCAAAAAGAGCTGTATTGTGAAGGCTATTGAACGGCTTTCTTGAATCTCTGGATATCAAGCTGATTTACAGCCCCTAGAGATCCAGCCTTCCAGGCAAGTGGTAGCGTTTCACGTCCTCTATGACCTCTTTCAGCATCCTACCCGGGTGGAAGAGGGAAGTGATCACACGCATAAAGTAAGTTATAAGCTGATTAAGGGGCTGCGTCGCTTCCTGCCACTCCTGGCATCCAAAATGCCCTCTTAAGGCAGAAAGTCAAGCTGAATTCAAGCACAGACAAAAAAAAATGGCTCTGATTGTAAGGTAATAACACTACAAATTATTGTTTTGAAGTCCTAGTATACATATATTTCCCAGGCCGGCAGGAGGTTTTGGTAGAGCAAGGAGGAAAAGAGGGGAAGTTTAACAAAGGAAGGACTGGCATTTTCTTTCTCTGAGTTGACATTTTTCCAGTCAAAGGTTTAAATCCAAACCAGTACTGACCCACAATAACCTAGCCAGCTACCAGCTCAAAACAGTGCTGACTTTCACAGAATCACAGACTATCTGAGGCTGACAGGGACTGCTAGACATCATCTGGTCCAACCTCCTTGCACAAGCCGGGCCACCTAGAGCTGGTTGCCCAGGACCATGTCCAGATGGCTTTTGAATATCGCCAAGGATGGAGACTCCACAGCCTCCCTGGGCAACCTGTGACAATGTGTGGTCATCCTCACAGTGAAAAAGTGTTTCCTGATGTTCAGAAGGAACCTGTCTTTCTTGTACTGATGAGCCCAGACCCAGACACCGTACTCCAGGTGTGGCCTTACCAGCGCTGAGTAGTCAGGCAGCATCACCTCCCTTGACCTACTGGCAACACTACTCCTAATGCAGCCCAGGACACCATTCACCTTCTTTGCAGCAAGGCATGCTGATGGCTCATGTTCAACTTGGTGACCACCAGGACCACCGCGTCCTTTTCTGCAAAGCTGATTTCCAGCTGGGTGGCCCCAGCATATACTGGTGCCTGGGGTTGTTCCTCCCCAGGTGAAGGACTTTGCACTTCCCCTTTCTGAACTAAACGTAGCGGGGACATGTTTAGCACGTGAACTGGGTATGCACCCTTGGGTCTGTTCAGCTGTGTCATATCACAGCTCCCCATTTCTACACTTTCCCTATGTCCCTTTCCGTGTAGCTTCCAGGTGTGCAGTTCTTTTTTCCACACCAAAAAACCAATGCTGATCTGCAAATCTTCACAAGTTCAACGTCGGGACTTCTTAAATTTGCATTTAGACAGACAGAATCTCCCTTTGACGGCTTTGCGGGGAACTGACTTGCTTTTAGGAGGACATCTTTGATAAGAACCTGAAATACATGCAAAAACTAGATGCCTATATTTGGCAGAGTGGATTCTATCATAAATAATAGCTTCTAATATCTGTTACTAAGACATAGAAACTAGGAAATTAGAAAAGACCAACTCATACCATCTTTCTATGTCATTAAAAGTTTGTTTCCTCTTGTTTATTAGCACAAGGTTTGTAAATGCTACCTTTAAACTCATAAACACAAAGCCTTCTACTAGCACCACTTAGAAATTATACTGTTATCAGAGTGTTTGTAAAACTCATAGGTTTTTTGCCAGATGGTCCCTCTGTATTGTTTGTTTCTTAATGTTGTCCCTCTATTCCCTCTTACATTCTTCTGTATTATGAAAACCAGTATTTCTCCCTTGCTAGTAGTTAAGCTCGGTAACTATTTGCAGTTAACATTGAGCACCTCTCGGTTGTTTCTTATTCAAGTCTTATACACAATAACCGGTGCAATCACTCCTCCCCAGGAGCTCTTTTAAATCATGACTATCAGTGCTACCACCTTATGCCAGTTTCTCCAATGTTCATTAATACTCATGTTGCCCAGAAAGGCTGGGGTTTGGCCAAAAAGATGGGAGAGAGAGGGGGGAAGGCTGGCTAAGAAATCAAGTTGGGCGTTCTTACTCAATGCTCTTATTTTTCCAGTATCCTCTGGCCTGTTCTTCAGCAAAAGCTACTTTATGCACATGCTTACACAATGGCAAAACTTAGCCTTAAGCGTACGCAAAGTATATAGGGAAAAGAAAAGAATGCATCTCTTGGATCCCGAGGCGGAGCCCCACACGGGTGGCATGACGTTTCTGGGCAGAGGCAGAGCCAAGAGCAGCCCCAGCTCCCCTGGAGCCTAGCCCACGCTGGGCTGGCACGGCTCTCGGAGGAGGCAGCTGGCAGGGCATTATCTTGGGGGGGAGGATTCTCTGCTTTGGTCTAAAAGAGGCCAAATTCAACCACCTCTTTGGCAGGCTGCAATGCACTTCTCCGACCACCCGGCCACAGAGAGTTGAAACCGAGGAAGACGCGTGAAGATCGTTAACTGAGCGCAAGGGCAAAATTTCCCACTTTTTCTTCCCACTTCTCGTTGAGATCCCGATAATGTTACTGGAGCTTAATTACAACAGCATGGGTATTTGATAGTTGTATTACAAATTATGCCAAGGATATTTCAAAATGCATAGATAGATGTTCTTTCTGCTCTGTATAATGCCAACTATTTGCTATTTATTACTAGTAGCGTGTGATCCATCATTAAATCACATAATTTCCTTTCAGCTCTCCAGATCTTGCAAATATATGCATCTGCTTTAACTTTAAGTATGTGAATAGTTTCACTGAGCTCAACAAGACAACTTGTGTGCATAAAATTAAAGCACAAAAAATAGCGTTTGCATCTAAATGAGTGTAGATTTAAATCTAAATGACTGAAACAAATAAGCAACAACCAACAGTCACAGGTAAAATGAAGTACCCTGAAAACAAATTGCCACTCATTTACATTATATCTGTCTAGGACCATAAAGGCAACTGCGTATTCCTGCCTGCCTATGAAGAGAGATATTTACAGACAGCTAATATTTATAAAGGAGTAAATTTATGGTAAAAAAATACTCCAGTATTTTTGAGCAAATTAAAAACCTCCCCTCAGTGAATTGTAGAGAAAGTTGGCATCTGTCTCTTCTGAAAATTCTATCCAAAAAGAACCAAACATATCAAATATCAACACAAACAAAAAAGTATTTGCATTAATGACAATGCTCGTGAATAACACGCAATAAAAAATTCCACCAACACAATCAGCCCAAAACACTGTTTGGGATTCAAACACATATTCACAAACCACTGCATTCAATTCATTCCAGGCAGCAGATTACGCTCTGATTTTTCACACAATACCGAAGAAACATACAATTTCCTGGGGACAAATTTTCAGCAGAACTTCTAATCTACAACTGCAAAAAAGTCTGTGGAAATTATTTTTCATGTACAAAACCTCTGTGTTTGAAAAACCAGTGCGAGTCATTGTATTTGCAACTCCTCCTTGTATACACAAGTTAACATTTGTACATGCAAATAATAGTTTTGGTGGATGCAAACAGATGTGATTCTCATTTTTCTGGGTGCAATTAGAGAAGTCTGCTGAAAACTTGACCCTGAAAAAAGCATAAGATCCTTTCCATGTTCAAATTTGAGCCATAAGTCATTGGACAAACTTAAAACACAGCCTGTCCTTTTATGCATCGTAATTTCTCCAAGCAATGTATTTACGTTTTATGTGTTCTGTTGTAGAAGAGGGAGCCTTAATGATTACAATTTGCCATCCAGAACTTTATAGCTAGTCCTTGCAGAAAATAGCATTTCTGCCAAAAAGCTTCCTGCCCAGGTGCTTAACCAATTAGCTCTTAAGAGGTCTGGCAGTAAAACCAGTCATGGCAAGTTTTCTGATATACTGTATATAAGGTGACAGCTTGCAAAATGTAAGATGAAAATTTGTTTTCTTAACTAGCAGTGTGTAAAATCCTGGGAGACTATTTGATTGCATAGCCTAAAATGCTTATGACATCTCAAATTCCCAATTGATCTAGTGTGGTTTTAGCAATATGTTGTCAACTTAAACATACTGTGTTTCTTTTTATAAATACTTTAAAAATAATTTCCTTAATTGTGATTGGGTTTTGCAAATATGTAGGAAGGATGGAGTAACCCCACAAGCTTGAGGTTTGGGGCCCTTCAAATTTTTCCAAACATTTTTGCTAACTCACAAAATACATGCAAGCTTTCAAAAGCGCCTTTTCTCCACAAATTACACCCACTTTTTATAATGGCATGCTAGATTAAAAACATATTTTTCGCAAGGGGAGTACTTTGCAATGCAAAGAATAGAAGAAAACCATGAAAGATAAATACACCATAGTAAAACAAATGACTTCTCTGATTCTGGAAGCAAGAAGTTTGTATTATGTGGGGATGGCAGTGAAAAGACTGAAACTCCCTACAGAACAGGCAAAAAAAGCGTGGTATTGAACTGGAATAGCCATGTGGGTCAGTGAAAAGACCGAAACTCCCTACAGATAATCCTTGAAGTGGTAGCTGTGTAACGACAAAGCGGGTCTGCCTAAGATGGTACAGAGAACAGGCAAAAAAAGCTTGGTATTGAACTGGAATAGCCATGTGGGTACTCAATACATTTCAGGAATGTCATTTTCAGGAGTGCCAGGCCTGAGAGAAGATGGTCTTTGGCAGAAGCAGCACACGGTGCAGATAGCTCATCTTAGGACTTAGTACTGGAGGAGGGGATTTATCTCACTGGGCAGCCCTTGCATTTTCACAAGGTTTTGACACCTGAAACTCAGCGTGCATGAGGCTGCCACAGTGAGGATTCTGAAAACTTGGATCATAGGGTAGACAAGTATTCTACGTATGAGAACATACCCCCACCTGCATGTAGGATGCATGTAGGAGTAAGGGTGACGGCGCTGCAGCAGGAGTGAGTCCTGGAGCTCATGCTCTTGTTAGGATGCACAATCCTGTTACCACAGCTCCATGGAGGTCTTCCAGCTACAATCCCACTGTAAAACCTTCCCAGGACTGCTCTAGCCCTTTGCCGGCTGCTTGCCCTCACAGCAGACAACAGTCCCACCATAATCTTCCCCCTGGATCGGGGTATGGCTCACAGCATCCTGTAGTTTTTCCTTTACAGCGTGAGCTCTGTGGTACCCTGGTCTCCCTTAGACATCTGTTACCAGATTGTGTGAGCCATAAGCCTCGAAGGAACTGCTACAGGCTCTCCAAAGATGGAGATTCTAGTCCCCAGCGGATTTTCATGAAATTTGCTCCCTGTGGCCTGTATGGTAAAAGGCAGGGTCTGCCAGCCCACGTGCAGCTGGGTTTCAGGAAGAACCTTTGGCATGGGGTCTGCTCAGATGAAAAGCTGATGTGTGTAATTAAGGCTTGTGTGAAAAGATTTCACGTGTTATATTGTGATTTCCTTTAAATCTCAAGGTGCTTTTTTGTTGCATACTAATAGAATGGTGTCTGATCATTTTGCAGAGGGAAAATGAAGTAGAAAAACACAATATTAATCGTGATGAACATTTGAACAAGGAGTTGGAAGTTCAGATTTCCCAGAAAGCTGAAATGGACACTTTGGAAAATCTCAGGAACTACGGCAATAGGGCATTTCCTTCTGTATTAACCCTGGCAGTGCCAGATGCTATTCAAGAAGATGAGATTGCAATTACATTAGAAAACCAAGAAAACTTGCCAGAAGGTACTGTTCTGAAATATAGTCTTGGCATCTTAGTCTGAAAGGGTACTAGGGTATCTGTCTGGGAAAAAAAAAGGGAACACAATTCCTGAAAATGCTATAGAAATATCCTTCCACCTCGTTTTGAAATTACAAGTATTTTGAGCAATTGTTTCCCAGCCACAGGTTTGGTGATTGATTTAATTCTGATCAGGTGAAAAAATTAGCAGGTGAATACCTGATCCAGTTTATACTCTGCAGGTACTGATTACAAATAACTGTTCTGTGTCATTGTGCAGGTGAGTTCCTCTATGACTCACTCTGGGATGCTACTAGTATTGCTAAAGCACTTCCAGGAATAGACATTTATGAGTTTTTTTTAAAAAAGGAAATTATTTACATACCCAGGATGAATGTGAGCATGATGCACGTGTCACAGTTTCACTGGTGGTGAGACACTGGCACAGGTTGCCCAGGGAAGTTGTGGATGTCCCATCCCTGGAAGAGTTCAAGGCCAGGCTGGATGGGGCTTTGAGCAACCTAGTCTAGTGGAAGGTGTCCCTGCCCATGGCAGGGGGGCTGGAACTAGGTGATCTTGAAGGTCCTTTCCAACCCATACCATTCTATGATTCTGTAAGAAGGGGTTGCACTCATATCCATGGCATTATTTTCCATAGTCTCAAAACCATAGAAGATGCACAGTACTGGATAATCAAACTCCAGATACTAATTTAGACTTATTCCTGCTCCCATTATTGCACACCCACAGCTATTCACATATGTGGCACAGTTAAATTAATGTCATAAATAGCCCCAGAAGCATAAATGCATAAATGCATATGTGGTATGGTTAAATTAATGTCATCAATAGCCCCAGAAGTGTAAGTAAATAATAGTCACTAAAATTAAGCCAGGCAACTTTATACTGAGATGCTCATTTAAGACTGTTCATCCGATCAAAAAATTGCTAATTGCCTGCCTGCAGATCACCATTTGCTTTAAATCCTTGGTGCAAAATTTCATTCTATGTCAAGATCTACTTTTATTTATGCCATTACAAGTACTGACTTTTTTATTATAGGATCAACCTGTTTTGATACTAATATGTTATTTTTCTTGAAAATACCATTCCAGCAGAAGCTGATCTTATTTATTATATACTCTCTTTAGTTTCCAGGTTCGCAGGCAGAGAGTTGGTCCACCTTGGACCTCCTAAATCATCAAGCAAAAGTACGCCATGTGAGCCCATGTATCAGTTGCTTTTGGACCTTCAGGAGAATCTGAATGATTTTGAAGAATTGACTGAAGCTGGAAAACCATGTCTTCATGAGAAATTGCCATCCACAACACCAAATAACCAACCTCCCTCTTCAAACATCCGAGCAATGACATGTACAAGCAAAGCACCTCCCCAGTCCCTAATGAAAAAAAGAATTATTACCAGTAGTCCTTTGTCTCATCAGGACATGAGGTTTAAAGACCTTCTGAAGGCAGTAGATGACAATATTTACATCCCAGCACAGTGGCACCTTGATAAAGAGGGCACTGATTTCCTCACGACTGACTATCCCCAGCTGCCGCCTTTCCCCAGGCTGCGAAAAGCTGCCCCGAGAGAAACCCTAGCTAGAAAGATTTCCTGGCTGAGGGCATCACAGCAACACACAAATATCTGCCCTCTGGTTTTAGTCAGTGGTTCAAAACCACCAGCCTTCCCCATGTCCCAACAGCAAACGTTTACCATAAGAAGTATGAGGCAGTCTAAAGAAAACCCAACTCATTTCTTCAACAAGAAAACTAAGAAAAACTTTATCCAACTCAGACACACACCTAAAACTACAGATCTAAACCTTCCAGTTTTATCTCCACCGCACCAAACCAGGCTGGGGAAAAATACAGAAATTCTAAGGTTAAACTTTGCATAAATAAAACACCCACAAAGCATCAGAAGAAAATAGGACAACGGGGGAGGAAAGAAACAAAGATGGACAGAAAAAGAGAGCAAGAATAGGAAGGCAGGAGAGATGAATCCAATCTTAAAATGAGACACCTCCAAACACAACGAAGGATGATATGATTTAAGCTGTGTGTCCTTTGATATCCATCAAACATTGGGCTACAAATTTTGCAGAGCGCACCAAAGACACAGAAAACCAGAAGCCACCGTAACAGAACACCAAGTGTATTTATGTAAAAAAAGCGGACGTTGTGGGCAGAAGATACGATTTTAAATATTTTATATCAATACATGTATTGTCCCGAACTTGTGTCACTTGCAGTTTCTCATTTCATTCCGGAAAAAAACCTGGTCAGGCAGTTTTCACTAAGCTGTGAACATAATGCAGAAGGTAAACAAACAGTAACAATGATGGAATAATCAATTTTGGGGGGATTGTCATAATAAAATAGTCATGGCATTGATCTTTCATTTATTTATTTATTAGTTTTAACTGCATGTATTCTAATTAATGGAGACCATGCAACCTAACTCCCCTGAAAGGAGCAAATCAACACATTTTCCTTGTAAATTTAACAGCTTAATTAGGACTGCCTATTTGTAACCGTGTGCCTTTGCAACGTTTGTCTCTTACTATTGAAAACATGGATTTGCTTTCAGTTTCAATGATTTACGCTTCTTAGCTAGATTATCATAGCACTAAGCTTTGAGCCTGATTCTGTCTTCAAACCAGGTTTAAATCCATTTAAAACCCTTAACTTCAACAGATTTGAACTTGATTGACTCAACGGAGGTGAGAATACAATGGGAGTCTTCATATTTGCTGCTTGGTCAGCTCACATGTAGAAGTAAAAGATGTGCAAAGGGTTTCCAAGTAATACTAGATAGATATACAAAGAATAGCAGCATGAAAAGGCCGCAGAAGAAGAAGGTATAATCCTATGAGCTCAAACCAAGGCTTTTAGCAGACAAGCACCATGGTAAGCATTTGGTTACATTGAGCAGGACCAAACTTGAGGTCCCGTTTTTGTCTGTAGCGCCTTCCCCCACCGCGCCGGGACAACATCCATGGGGTGAGCTCTTCACGGTCCACGCAGCTCCGGCACTGTGCCGCCTCAGCGAGGGCAGCTTACGCAGACCCGCGTGGGTGCCAGCCACTCTGCCATCTCCTCTGCTGGGCTGCGACAGCTACGGTGGAGCCCTGCTCTCAGCCAGCCCTGATCTGAGTAACAGAGATGTTTTTAACTCAGGACATCTTTGCTGACCAGGCTTACAGGGCAAGTCCACAGCTGCAGCTGAAGACCTGAAGAGGAAGGATGGGGCGCGTGGGCAGGAACTTATCACCACCGAAGAAATCATGCTGTGTAACTTTGTCCTGTGAGCGTGGGGCTGCAAGTCAGACGTACCACATGGGATTGCAGCTCAGCTAGGTGGAAAAGTTAGTGCCTCTGCCCATCGCTTTTCTCCACAGCTTAAAGTCTCCTCAGAGCATAACAGCACATGTAGTCACCCCAAAATCTAGCTGGTCAGAACGATCCAGGTTGAAAAGAAACTTCCTATTAAAAATGCTTGGTGACCCCAGCACGATTTGGCAGAACATGGCCAAGAAGCAGATACACATGCGGCATCTGTACCCCTCCACTCAGAGGGCAAGGAAGGACCACTGGTCTCTGGATGAGGGCAGTGGCAAGGAAGCTCAAATCCAGCAGTTTTCCTTCTGCACACCTGAGCTAATGAGCAGTGCAGGGGCCATTTGCTGTGCTTATAACTCTGGTACCATGCAATTCAGAACCTAGAGGTATCTGAGCGATTTCCAGATAATGTTTTTCTTGGAAAATCTGATTTCCTTAGAATTTAGAAAATGTTTATGTCTCAAAAACATTTTTAGCTTTGAATGGCTGTTACAAAACACTTTTTGTTTGAATATACGGATTGAAACAAATGGTTTCAGCTGTAAGTTGACATTTCAATTTACTGTTTCCTTTCACAATACTGAAATGCTTCCTTCTGACCATAAATGTCTAAAAGCTTTTTCCTCCACACCATTTTTTTCTGAGAAAATTTTTTTCCTTGACACTTTTTAACATTTTGTCTTCATACTCTAATTCCAGATGACAATAACAACAAAATGCTCTAGCTTTTTTCACCAAGTCGAAACTCCATTTTCCAAACAGCTCTACCACCATCTTCCAACTCCCCCAAGAGCCCTCGGAGAGAGGAGAACAAGAGGAGCTTACGCTTCTCCTTTACCAACCCAGTGCAGGTGCGTCTATGTGGGTGCCAAAGCAGACGACAGCCACAGGAGAATAATCGTTCCCCACTAAAATGAAGCCTGGAAAGGTAAGTGACTGTGCACGATGACCCAAGTGCAGAAGAGGCAGCTCTTCCTGGAGGAGCTCCCAATTGTGATGCCTTCATCCTCCCACAGCCTTAGCTGCCTCCAGCCCAGCCTCTGCTCTGGCTGCAGTAGAGAATGAGGGTGAGACACCTACCAGCGGTTGGAGAAAACATCAAGTCTTTGAGGGTTCCCTGCCAGCTGCCTATTCTTCCCTTTCTTTGAGGTAATATGGTTTCTTATTTCTAGGAGTGGTTTATTAAAAAGCAAGGGAATATCCCTTCTTCTGCCCTGTCTGGGCAGGCTTTAAAGGTCACAGTGCTGAAATAGATGTTTCTTCAACACGGCACAGCTGAGTGTTGCCTTATAGACATCATGTAAAGAGAAAAGAGATTTTCTACCTACGCTTTCCATACACTTTTAAGGGCTAGCTTCAACCTGGCCTTCCCTCGAGCTGTTCCAACACCGCTGAAACATCTATCTGCTGCTAGCACAGAGCGGCTATGTCTGAGCAGGAACTCTCATCTACCACGTATATATTAACACTTTGAAATAAAAGCCATCTTGTTCCTGAAGGGAGAAGCGCAGTTAACGGTTCGATGCTATAAACGCGGGTCTTGGATCACGTGCAGCACTGGGAAGGGGCAGAGAGCATCGTGCAGTATAGCCGATAACGTAGCATGTGACGATGGAAACACCTCCAGGCAGCCAGACTGCATGGGTGGCCCAGGCAGG